TTAAGGGGGAAATGCAGAGAAATTGAGGGACTTCTATAGATCTTCTAGTAGATCTGGTTGTCAATCCCCCTCTAGTAGTGCATCACATAGTCGGGGTGTGTGTGTGTGGACAGATTCTCCCACTCTCCTTCTCAATCCAAAAGAAGGCAATTAGATCCTTCTATCAGGCATAGCAGAGAACCAAACCCTCTCTTGGGCCATGAGTATGAGGAATCTGAATGCTCCGATTCTTTCTCACCTAAGGAAGAGGGTAAGCTATCGGATGAGGAAGAATCTGTGGTCACCACCATGCAGACTCGTCTTTTCCCACAGGATGTTTTCTACAAGATCCTTCCAAAAGTGTTGCACATTTTGGAAATTCCATTCAACAACAAAGAGGTGGAAGGGCCTGACGTGAGCAAAGCAGCTAGTTCTGCCTGAGCCTTCCCAAAAGCAGGGTCGTTGACCCTTGGGATTCTGTTCCCAGCTTTGTTCAAAAAAGTGGTCAAGACCTAATGGGAGTCACCAGCCAGGTCTAAGTCGACCCATCTTATCATCTCCAAGTTCTATTCCCTGGTGCCAGATGCAGTGGAGCACTTCAGACTACCGCTAGTGGATGATCCTGTGGCTTAGTCTGTGCCCCAATTCCGTTTTACCTGCAGAGGTGGACAGTCTCCCCAGGGATCCCTGCGACAGAAGGACTGAACAGTCCCTGCATAAGAATCTTGAAGCTTCCTCGACTTCCCTCAGGGCATCCATGGCAAGCTCCCCTTTTTGCTAGGGCAATCTACTCTTGGGCTTCAGACCTCTCAGCAGCAGACAGTGACATCTCTCAGGACCTGAAGGATGAACTAAAGCAGATCGCCCTCACAGCAGCCTTCTCTGTGGACACTTCGCTGGACACAGTCCAGCTGTCGGCCAGGGCTATGGCTTCAAATGTCAACACCAGGCAAAATACTTGACTTTGCAGCTAGGAAGTGGACCCTTCGTCCCAGGCCACAGTGGCTAGCGTGCCATTTGAAGGAGTACATCTCTTTTGGGAAGGTATAGATAGATATCTGGTGGGGAAGAAAGACAAGAAAAGGTTGCTGCCTTCCTGCACGAAAGACAGCAAGCCCAAGAAACGCATCTCTTCCTTTTGTGAATCCAAGCAATTCCCCGGATTTCGAGCGCCTCGGCCTTTCAAAGGGAGATGGCAGCTCAAACAGTCAGGTGGCAATAGTTCCTCCTTTCTTATGTTCTTATGTTCTTATGTTTTAGACACAGTGTCAAATAGCTACTCTCTGGAACTCTATTCCTTGCCTCCCAACAGATTTCTACAGGTCCCAAGAAATTGTTGTCCACAAAAGCACCTTCTTCTCCTCAAGGCCATACACCTACTGGACATGAGGGCAATAGAGCCTGTGCCAGAGGCCCAAAAGGCCTTGGGGGTTTATAGTCCTAAAAAAGAATGGGGACGTGAGGGCCATTTTAGACCTCAAATGGCTAAACAAGAGGATAAGAAAGAAGAAGTTCAGAATGAAACCCCTCAAGTTCATAGTATCATCCATCCAGAAAGGAGATTTTCTGGCATCAGTGGATCTCTCAGAGGCCTACTTGCACATCCCAGTTCGGGAATCACATCGGAGGTTCCTGCACTTTTCATACAATGGTCTCCAGTTTCAATACCAGGCTCTTCCCTTTGGCCTCAGTACGGCACCAAACGTGTTCACCAAAGTCTTGGCTTCACTGATAGCTCATCTGAGAACCCAGGGAGTGTCCATCTTCCCATTTTAATCAGGCCCCCCTCTTACCTACAGGGGATGGAGGTCCCCCTCTTACCTACAGGGGATGGAGGAGAATCATCTCATGTCTCCAAGAACATGGGTTCATCATCAACTTGGAGAAAAGCAGCTTGTCTCCATCTCACAGGGCCCTCCATCTAAGGGTCATAATAGACACGGCTCAAGACGGAGTTTTCCTATCACAAGAGAGACAGTTTTAAAGGTAAGCTCTTTGAGAGGACAAGTAGTATCACCTCAGCCAGGAGGGTGTCAGTACTTAGAGCTCTCTCCGTGGACAAAGAGTTCCGTGTCTTTCATAACGATAGAGTAGTGTTCCATCCAGACCCCGCCTTTGTCCCAAAGGAAAAATATGCCTTTCATAGGTTGAAGGACCTGATCCTCCCCTACTTCTGTCCCAAGCACCCTCAGGAGGAGTGGCATTGTTTGGATGTTAAGAGGGCCCTGAGCTTCTGCCTTGATAGGACTAAGCCCTTTTGTAGGACTGGCTCAATGTTTGTCTCTTTCAGGAAGGCTTCCCTAGGCCACAAAGTCTCTACTTCTACTATTAGTAGGTGAGTTAGAGGCTGTATCCTTTTCGCTTACAAGTCCACAGGTCTTGACCCTCCTTTGGGTATTATAGCACACTCCCTCAGGGACAGCAGCCTACAGATCTTTTCCTTCCTTAGAAGTGATATGTAAGGCTGCCACCTGGAGGTCCATCCACTCCTTTACCAGGGACTACAGGATTGATAAATTAGCCACTGCGGAGGCTGCCTTTGGAAGAAGGGTCCTACAGCATGTCTTCTCAATCTAAGAGCCTAGTCTCTTCCCTCCCTGGGGAGCACTGCTTTTTGTGTCCCAGAAGTTGAGACTGCCCCACCCCAGACCACTGGAGAATGGAAGATTTGTCTCACTGCACCAAACATGTTCACCAAAGTCTTGGCTTCACTGATAGCTCATCTGAGAACCCAGGGAGTGTCCGTCTTCCCATTTGAATCAGGTCCCCCTCTTACCTACAGGGGATGGAGGAGAATCATCTCATGTCTCCAAGAACATGGGTTCATCATCAACTAGGAGAAAAGCAGCTTGTCTCCATCTCAAAGGGCCCTCCATCTAAGGGTCATAATAGACACGGCTCAAGACGGAGTTTTCCTATCACAAGAGAGACAGGAGGAGATCCTAACTTCAATACAGGATCTCACTTGTCGGTCACAAGTGGAGGTGATGTCCCTAGCAAGGCTTCTAGGGATGATGGTATCCTGTCAGGATGTTGTCCTGTGGTCCCGGTTTCACACTCACATACTCCAAAGTTTCCTCCTACTCTTCCAGGAAGTCATAGCCGACAAGCACTTTAAGCCAGTTCAGCTACCTGGATCCCTGATTCAGGAACTGCAATGGTGGACAAAATCTTCCAGGTTTCTGGAGGGGACTTCACTCTGGGAACCAAAGAGGAGGAGGATGACATCAGATGCCAGCCTCACTGGCTGGGGGGCACAGTCACAAGGGAGAATGGCTCAGGGCATCTGGTCTCAGGAAGCGTCAGCATGATGCATCAGCTTTCTGGAGCTCAGAGCAATAAGGCTAGAGCTGTGGGACTTCCAGGATCTCTTGACAGGGCAGGATGTCCTAGTTTACATGGACCATATGACAGCCAAATCCTGTGTCAACCGCCAGGGGGGTACCAAATCCAGGTTACTCTACACAGAGGCAAAGGTGATTATGCAAAGGACAGAGATCCATCTGAGGTCAATTAAAGCTGTTCACATGGCAGGACAGGACAACGCATTAAAGGACGGGCTCAGTTGGAGGGTTCTAAATCGAGCAGAATGGATGCTGGGCAAGGCAGAAGTGGATCTTTTTGTGATGGAGCACAACTACCAAGTTTCACAGTTCATCTCAAGGACAAAGCCATAGGGGTAGGTGCCCTAAGTTGCAACTCGCCAAATCAGCTACTGTATGCCTTTCCTCCCATGCAGCTAATACAAAGGGTGACCCAGAGAATAATAGACCTCAAGGACCGACTCTATGTTTGTCTCTTTCAGGAAGGCTTCCCTAGGCCACAAAGTCTCTACTTCTACTATTAGTAGGTGAGTTAGAGGCTGTATCCTTTTCGCTTACAAGTCCACAGGTCTTGACCCTCCTTTTGGGTATTATAGCACTCTCCCTCAGGGACAGCAGCCTCAGCAGCCTACAGATCCTTTCCTTCCTTAGAAGTGATATGTAAGGCTGCCACCTGGAGGTCCATCCACTCCTTTACCAGGCACTACAGGATTGATAAATTAGCCTCTGCGGAGGCTGCCTTTGGAAGAAGGGTCCTACAGCATGTCTTCTCAATCTAAGAGCCTAGTCTCTTCCCTCCCTGGGGAGCACTGCTTTTCTGTGTCCCAGAAGTTGAGACGGCCCCACCCCAGACCACTGGAGAATGGAAGATTTGTCTCACTCATTGTGAATTTTCCTTCTTGGGGGTCTAGGGGTGGGGCGGTCTCTTCCCATCCAAGGGTAGAATTCTTGAGTCAGCTTTTGGAGCAGAGTGGGTATGCTGTCTGCACCTAGGGCTTCCTCACCCTTCTCCCGTCCTTCCTCTTTCTGCTGAGGTTCTCTGAGTCTTTCCGATGTTGTTTGTGGTTCTCGGAGTCTTTCCTACATTATGTTTGTTCCTCTGCATCTTTATGACATTTTTTTCTCAACTATTAGTCGGCGCTTCTTTCTTGGTTTTTGTATAAATGTTTGGGAGAGGGAGTTATACTGCTTTGGGACCAGACTGGGGTCCAAGAGAGAAGCCCCTCCCCTCCAGGAATCGCACAAAGATCAGTGACCCTGCCTGCCTATAGGAAAGAACTTCTCCCAGAAGTTGAGACTGCCCCACCCCTGGACCACTGATAAGGAAGACTTACGGTAAGTGAGACAAATCTTCCGTTTCCTGCACATGATTGTGGTGCATTCTCAAAAGGCATAAACACCATCAATATCGTTATCTCACAAGTGCCGTCAGTTTTGCTGTTGAACCTGCTAGTTTATTTGAACTTAGATGCTACCTGGGTTGCATATTATACCCTCCAAAAGGCCTCGAAAAATTAAATTCTGCATGTTTCACCCCACCAAAATCCTTTCCACACACTTGTTGGGTTTTAAGCCCCATGATTTCTGTAGGAATTTCCCACACCTAACTGTATCTGGATTTGCACCCATTGTTCTGAGCCATCCGTCAGGCTATGTTCCTGCTTGTCTAGTTTACAATTCCCTTTTTTCTCTTGCCAGTACTTCAACTGAGGCTACAGCAACGGCGGACGCGAGAGCAGCTGGTGGACCAGGGAATCATGCCACGTAAGAGTGATTTTATTTCCTACAGCTTGTATAACATTGAATACTTAGCCTTCTTGCCCGAAGATGAAAGGAAGTCGTCAATAACATTAACATTTAATACCGGTCTGAAAGCAAAGAAAGAATCACAATAAAGAAACAGACACACAAGCTTAATTTTAACGTGATGGGATACTTCTGGCACTTAGAAGTTTGGGAACGAGAACAACAGGAGAAAGTGTTGTTTTCCTGCTGGAATTAAGTGCATGGGTTTAATTCATAATTTAATAAGTAATATGCTGATTTATCTTCATGGAAGTCTTGGAAATAGTTTAACATTTAGAAGGGATAGATCCATGCAGAAGCATCGCTTTCGTACACAAGGCAACAACAAAAAACCTTGGCAAGTGACGTGCTTTGGCAACACCTGCAAGCCTGAACTATTTTCTAATACAGCTTTCCATGGAAGGTAGTACCCAAAAATGTCCTTCCATCTGTGAAAAACTCTGTACCATTTGTGGAAGTGTTTCATGGGAGAAGCTGCCCAGGGAGAAACTTGCTCCAGGAAAACCTTGTTTTGTATGCACAATTGTACCCAAAAATGTCCTTCCGTCTGTGAAAAACTCTGTACCACTTGTGGAAGTGTTTCATGGGAGAAACTTGCTCCAGAAAAACCTTGTTTTGTATGCACAATTGTACAGAACCCTCTGAGCTTTCCTGTGCCTGCTGCTGCACATCTGGTACACCTAATGCAAGAACATCCTTGCTTGAGTACTTAATACATCTACATTCATGTGAGCAGCCTTCCCCCCCCCCCCTTCTACTTCTGGTTCTTTAGATCCCAGCCCTTACCTATGATATTAATGGACCTGTTTGGAATGTTTCAACTGAATCCAATTGGCAGACGGTACTTATTTTTACTAGCAAGAGCCATGCTGTTGGGACCTGGTAGGGGGCTGCCATGCATTCATTCTCTGGGCACTCTTCACAGTTGTCTCCTGATGCAGCACTTTCACTTTTGTCATAGGAGTAAATGGCAGCCCTTCACTCCTCCAGGAGAAAGTAAAAGGGATTTCTCTGGGACAGTGTTAGAAAGGATGCCCAAAGGAGTCATTAGGAGGAGTCTTGTTGTGCTCATCTGCCCACAACATTGCTAATTGCAAGACTGTATCCCGTAGGAAGTAATGGGAATTTCTGAGCACAGTTCTATCTGCACAGCCTTGCCCTATCCATCCATTTCCTGGGCATGTTAGAGAGTGGTTGCGCCCCAGGAGCTGGCAACACATGTGCATGTGTAAAAATATGATTCAGCATCATTTGCAGCATACAGTGAGTTTCACAGTCCTTTATGTGTGAATTGTTTGAACAGTGGTGTTTACTTTGGCCCTCCGAATGACTGGCCAGCCTCACAGTCTCCTACCATCAGCTTGAGTACATGCAGGATACCAAACAGAATATGTTCAAGTTATCTGATAATCAGTAAAGATTGTAAAACATTTATCTGTACCAGCATATTCCAATAATTTCTTGTCACTTTCTCACTTCTCTGTCGTAGCTTTGAAGAGCCCAGCTGCATTCCATGAGCAGATAAAGAGCTTGGAAAGAGCCAGGGTAAGGAGTCAAGTTGAAACATGTTGGTTCATTATTCAAGTTTCATTTCATTTGGAAAGGCAAGATTTGTTAGTAACAGAGTAAAAGGAACCGGATTTGGGGGGCACGTTTCGGCTTGGAAACGGAGATGAGCACCGCAACCCTAGGGTCGGATTCGACTGGCTTTTGAGCAAGGGAAACCTTTACCTTTCATTGCTTAAAAGATCTGTACTACGTATTATTTTTGTTTCTAAGACCAGTTCAGAGTGCCAGTTTTGACCTATAAGGCCCTAAAAGTATACAAACCTGTCCAGTTGCTAAGTTTTTCTGCAAGGACCCCATCATCAAAGGTGAACGTGGTTGATTGCCAGTGACAGGGTAGTTTGGGGTGGTAGCATATTGCAAAATTCCTGCCTTCCTAAATTCAGTTCAGAAGACACCAACCTTTAGGCATCATGTTAAAACTTAGCTTTTCTCTCAGGTGTTTAATGGTACCTGTTTCCCTGCGTATTCTGATCCCTGGGTTTTGATATTTTGGTCTATTAATCTTTAAACTTTTCAGCATACTCTTTGGGAAATTGTGGCTAGGTTGAGAAATTGCAAGACAGAGATTAATGGAAAGGATGCAGTTTAGAATTATTAATGTAGCCAGTGCAAGCCTTTCAAACATTGGTGACCATAGGCTGAGGCCCTGTCAGGTTCTGTATCCCTGTCCTAGTCACCCTGAACCAATCAGTCAGATGCAAATTTGCTGTACATATCCTGAACAAGATCCATTTCAAACCATTCTAGTCAAAGCTTATGATACGATGAGACAAGCAGCACTCATGGTTGTAATGTAATCTAGACCAACATAGAATAATGTTCGCTTAGCGTTGCTTAGCAACATTCTGGGAAGAATATTGACTCAGATTCCTTCTGTGATCAGGATGCTGCTTGCAGATCCATCTGCTCAATCCAAGTGCTGTGGAGAAACAGGCAAAGTGTATTGTTGAGGAAATGGCTTCATGATTAAAAATGCTAAATCTGTTCCAAATCATATCTTAACTCTGCTTGTTTTAACTGCTAGTTGTTGAGTTGTTCACTAGGAGTCCTAAATTCTAGACCCATTGGAGTTCTACCTTTTATATTTTGTCTGTTTGTTTTACTGTTCAGAGGAATAGGTTTGAAATATGTCATCTATAAAAAGCAAATTTTTACGGGTTGCATCTTGGATTGTAAAAGTTTGAAGGGGGTGAAGTCTGCATTTTATTCCTTGCTGGGTGAGTTGCCAGGAACTTGATGTTCTGTTGGATTCTCTACATGGTTCCATAATAAACAAAGAACATTGTCTTACAACACAAGGCGACATCTTGCAAAAAGCTCTCAAATTGTAATGACTTTTTTCTTAGGAGGAAATAATTTCAGCAGCTTTGCTTTGGTGATACCTGTTGCTCTTAGAATCAGGGCAATCAAATACATTTGGGTAGTCATATTTTGTATAGGCTGAAAGTATTTTGTGTGAACAGTTAATTAAAGTGGAGGATATATGTGCATGTATATATTTTTTCTTTCAGACTGAAAATTTTCTGAAGCATAAGATACGCAGTAGACCAGATCGATCTGAGTTGGTCAGAATGCACATTCTGGAAGGTGAGGATCTAGATGCCCTGTTCCAGTTATAAGAACATAAGAGACGCCAATGTTGGATCAGGCCAAAGGCCCATCCAGTCCAACACTCTGTGTCACACAGTGGCCAAAACCCAGGTGCCATCAGGAGGTCCACCAGTGGGGCCAGTTAAGAAATGCTTCATCAGAGCATAGAGTTGGGTGATCAAACTGCTAGACAAAGGCAATGGATGTGCTCTGTAGGGGGGGAAAGCCTTTCTTAAAGTCTCATCAGACACATTACACTGAAAGGCTGGGTTTTCCCCCAAAGCCAGAATGTTTATATGTGTTAAAAAAAACATGGATATAGCAATGTGAAGACAGCAGTATATCTGGACAGACACAGTTCATCTTCATATATAGATCATTCCCATTTAACAGATGGAGGTGAGGCTAACGATAACATACTGTATGTTATCCAGTCAAGCTGTTGTGAAGTTGGGAATTAAGAACCTCGCTCTCAAATTCAGTGTTGGACCACACTGATCCAACTGCAATGAAAAGTACCCTTGTTTCTTTTCATTCTGTATTCATATTTTTTATGGTTGCCTAAATTTAACTGGATAATGAAGAGTTAGTGAAATCATGTTTCCAAAATGTATTAAAGGGATGTTCATGTACATCGCTTTGAAAATTAAAATAATTTCCAATAATTAAACAAAATATTTCTGCAAAATGGTTTTTAAGTGGCACATTTTAGTGAAAGGCATTGCTGCAGTTTTTACACTGTAGCTCTGGGGTGGGTGACCCATTGGGCAACAAGGGGCCACATCAAGCATTTATGGCCATAATAGTGTCTTGCTGATCTCTGCCACTGGATGGTTGAGAAAAGGTTGTGGCATCTTTAAATAATATGATGCCCTTTCTGTGTAGGCAAGAAACACCCTATTAATTACAAGTGGATGCATCTGTACACAAGCCCATTATAAGCCACTGTAAGTTGCTTTAAATATGCTTCAAATAGGTCTCTGGTGAGCTTTCCAGTCCAATATGATGTACCCCTTCAGAAAGACATTTAAAAGCATCTTCTCTCAGTCCAGTCAGCTTCCCTCTGAAGATACAGAACAATTCATTTATGGAGAGAAGCTCCCAGATGTTTCATCCCTCACTGGTCTAGTGCACCATTGGGTTCTCTCCTTCTCTTGGGCTTCTATCCTTTGCTTGAGAAGTTTTCCATTACAAATCCAAAGGGGTATGAAGTGCTGCAGTGTTTACAAGCACAAAGACACCTTTCCCCACATATTAGCCCTATACCACATCTGTACAGGCACAACGGCTGAAACACTTCTTCTTTTTGAAAAAAAAAAAGGTAAATATAGTTTTTGCTGCAGTTAAATCCATCTGGATAGCTTGCTTATCTCTCTCTTTATGGGATATAGAATGCTTGAGAGCCAGTTTGGTGTAGTGGTTAAGTGTGTGGACTCTAATCTGGGAGAACCAAGTTTGATTCCCCACTCCTCTGCTTGCAGCTGCTGGATGACCTTGGGCAAGCCATAGTTCTGTCAGAGCTGTTCCCTCAAGGACAGTTCTCTCAGAGCTCTCTCAGCCCCACCTACCTCACAGGGTGTCTGTTGTGGGGAGGGGAAAGGAAAGGAGTTTGTAAGCCGCTCTGAGACTCTGAGTGAAGGGCGGGGTATAAATCCAATCTCTTCTTCTCCTTCTTGATTGTTAAAAAGGTGCCTAATACATGATTTAAACAGTATTCCTTCTTTGAGGGAAAGTGGGCCCTGAGTTAATTAACTGTGATGTAGTGTTTTTAGTCTTGGCATAAAATAAAGCTCAGTCTGTTTCTTTCCTGACCTTGATTTCAGCTTCAAACACAGAGGCAACTGCAAAAAATTGTAGAACAACAGGAAGCCATTCTTGTTTAACAGCTAAAGAACTAACCTCAGAAGCATTGTGTTCTTTTAAAAAAATCTGTCATCTTTTTTCAGAGACATTTGCAGAACCTTCTCTGCAGGCGACTCAGATGAAACTGAAGCGGGCCCGGCTGGCAGATGACCTGAACGAGAAGATAGCTCAGAGGCCTGGCCCGATGGAACTTGTGGAAAAAAACATCCTTCCTGTTGACTCCAGTGTTAAAGAAGCCATTATAGGCAAGTTGGAGAGCTGCGACTTGGGTCTGATACCACACAACAGTATGGCAAGTGACAACTTGAGCCTTAAAGGACCTTCTGGTCAGTGGGGTGTTTGACATTTAATAAGTGTGCATTTGTTACTTAATTATAGTAGGTGAGTCAGATAGCTTTCCTCTAGGCCTAACTTCTTTTGCTGGGACGTCGTCATCAACTAGTGTCATGACTCCTTTCCACCACATCCATGCCATTGGGTGACATTTTAGTAGCCTGGCATTTTGTTGAACCATTTGCTAAGCTGTGTGCTCTCCCTTTGCAACACATCACTCCCTCATACTTTACTGAAAGCAGCTCATGTGAAGATGGTTGTCCTTTGCTGTGAGATTATAGCCATCAGCCCACCCATATTGATCAATTATGCAGGAAAGGGATATTGCAGTATTTGTGCTGGATTGGTAAGGAAGTTATTTCAGGTTTTCTAGCATTGGGTAGAATGCATCTGGGTGTTGGGTCTCAGGGGGTGCCCCTCAGTCCACATGCAAACGTGACTTCAGACCGTGTTTCTTCTGTAACTGTCCTGCTGGCGACCCAAGATATAAGGTAGCTTTTTTCCAAGGTATACCCCCAACCCAGTTTTAAATACCCTTCCTTTGAAAAACAACCTTTTTGCAAGATCTTTTTTATTATTATTAAGAATGCTTAGCCAGCTAAGTTACTGTCTTAATGGGTCACTCCTGTGTCTATATGACTCCACATGTCCCCAGGAATAATTTCCCCCCAGGTGATAGAAACACATTCCTTTAAACCAGTCACTTTTTTACTGCCCTTTTCATTTCATTCAGTTTGACCTTGAGCCAGGGGTCGTTTCCTTCCAGAGGCTCCCCTGAGCCTCTCCGCTTTTGCAGAGAGACTGGGGGGGATTTAAATTTAAGCATTTCCAGCTTTCCCCTCCCTCCTTCCCTCCCTCCCACTCTTGTCTCCCTATTTCCTTCCTTCCTTCCTTCCTTCCTTCCTTCCTTCCTTCCTTCCTTCCTTCCTTCCTTCCTTCCCATCTCTCTCTCTCTTTCTTTCTTTCCTTCTGACATACTTCCGGTGATGTCAGGGGGTGTGGCATATGCAAATAACCTATGCTAATGAGTTGTGCTAATGAGCTCCTGCACCTCTTTTTCTACGAAATGACCCCTGCCTTGAGCATACTGGGAAAAGTATGTTTTGGTTTATGTAAAATGTCAACAGTAAGTACTCCAACAGTGCTGTCGTAAGCCACGTTACACACCCTTCTAAGACCATTGACTTCAGTGGACTTAGCAGGGTATAACACTGCTTAGAAGGGCTCTGCAAATGTCTCAGTAGTAGCTAGGAGTGAAATCAAATAATCTTGAACATGGAAGTGTAGAAGATGATTATAGACAAGGACAGTTTTGTTGCTTGTGAGTAACACATTTTCACTCTGTATAATTGTGGTGCTAAAAGAAGACTGTCCCCCACTTGCATTTTAGCAGTTGGTCAGGAGAACTATCCTCAGGCTTTGGAGGATTTCTCATTCGATGAGGACAGCAGTGATGCTTTGTCTCCCGATCAGCCTGCCAGTCAGGAGTCCCAGGGCTCAGCGGCATCCCCTGGTGAGCCCAAAGCGAGGGAAGCACCATCCCCCGTCCCACCAGCCGCCTCCACTAACCAGGTAAAGTGTTCGAATCCACGTCATAACCTTAAGATTGAGCTGTTTTGTTAACGATGGAGTGATTCATTTTCTCTTGATTTAGCAAACGTCTGATTGTGTTTTGCTTTACACCCTGAAGGCTTCACGGTTAGGGAGCATTCCCTGCTTCGGGTTGGTCTATCTGTTCACACTAACTGGATGTTCACATGCAGCAAGCCAGTCTCAGGGCTTGCTCCAGAGCAGGAGAATGTCTTCTCTGGGCTCTTCTGCAGCACAAGACCCAACAGGATTTTCTTTGTCAAGAAAAAAAAAATCTACAATGAGAAAAAATTTGATGAAATTTACATATAGGGCTCTTTCTGTAGCAGGTACTCATTTGCATATTAAGCGACACACCCCTAATGTAGCCAATCCTCCAAGAGCTTACAGTAGCTCCTGTAAGAAGAGCTCTGTAAGCTCTTGGAGGATTGGCTACATTAGGGGTGTGTGGCCTAATATGCAAAGGAGTTCCTGCTACAAAAAGAGCCCTGCGATATCATAGTGTATTTTGCATAATGTATCAGGGTGGCTCAAGTGGTTAAGACGCTGAACTGCAGGCTGTGGAAGGTCGGTAGTTCAGCAGTTCAAGACCCGGGTGCCGCATGATGGAGTGAGCTCCCGTCTCTAGTTCCAGCTCCTGCCAACCTAGCAGTTCGAAAGCAAGAAATTGCAAGTAGATAAATAGGTACCACTTCGGTGGGAAGGTCACAGCGTTCCGTGCACCTTGGTGTTTAGTCATGCCGGCCACATGACCACAGAAACGTCTTTGGACAGCGCTGGCTCTTCGGCTTTGAAACGGAGATGAGCACCGCAACCCTAGAGTCGGATTCGACTGGCTTTCGAGCAAGGGAACCTTTACCTTTACCTTTATCAGGGTGTCATGACAATATTTTGCCTGCCCACTCACCTTCACTTTGGCATAGATGCAGGTGCTGCATGATGGGATTAGACGCACCCACTCCCGTGGGACTAAGACAAACTGTACATGTGGCTGGCTTGTATGGAAGGGCCATCAGAACCAGAATTTGGACTCAGCTCAGGGCTGAGTGTGATTAACACAGCCAGAAATGGTATACATTCATTATGTCAAAATTTACTTTAAATTTAGACATGTGTTTTTAAGATTCTCGGCCGGCCCGTTATCCAGAAGACTGTCTTCTTGCTTGACGCAGATACAGAAACCTGTGCCAGATTGTGGCCTGCATATTTAATATCTCCTCGTGTGTGCAATCAAATCATTAGCCAAGAAAAGAAATTTGTTTTCATTTCAGTCATTATACAAATAAATAAAAAAATTGTAGAAGATAAACTTTCATGTACTTGTCTGAAAACTGGATGAAGCAAGTGGTTGCACAACATCAGGTGTTCCTAGTATTGTATTACGTCCAACTAACTTTTAAGTGACATTCAAGAACATTTATTTATATAGATCCTTTTAAAGATGTTTGCCAAAAAAATGTTTCTGTACTGAAAACCATGGGGCTTAGATTTTTAAAAAATCTCTCTCTCAAGGCATAGAACTCTCACTGTGTGCTCCTTTGGCAAGAATGATTCTTGCGTAATTTCAAAAGCTTATTGAACCCAATCTTTATCAGGTTTGCTGAGACTAAACATGATGGAGGCAAACAGTTTTCCAAAGGATTGTTGTTGGCTTTCCAAAATAAAAAGCAGCTCAAAAATTGGGAAGGAGAGGCATTCTCCAAACTGCTTTTCCATCCATGGGAGAAAATATATGGGGAAGTGATGTCAGAAGGGGAGGCAAAAGAGGGGGGGGAGGCATCTCCAAAAGCATCCCCTTCCCTTCCCCAGCTGAGAAGGGGTTTAAAGTTTAAACCCCTTCTCCCTCTGAGCTGGAGGACATCTGATTGTGGGACAAAAAGGCAGAGATGGCACTCAAGAAGGCACACGGGGCAACAGCCATGACCATTAAGGCCTCAGCGGCAGCATCTACAGTCTCCAGAGCGGCCATAGTGTGGATGCGTAAATTAATACAAATGTTGCCCGAGAATGATACTAGACTCATGGAGGGAGCATCCAGAGTGCTGAAGGCCATTTCCTATACGGCCGATGCCACACTGGACTCAATGATCTTCTCGGCGCAGGCTATGGCATCCGCTGCCGGGGTCCGCCGCTTGATATGGCTTAGGGCATGGCAAGGCTGGACTTGAATCCGACGGTCAAGTTTCAATCAGATTGGGTTCGATAAGCTTTTGAAATTATGCAAGAATCATTGGCACTGGGATTCAGAGGTTGACTACCTCTGCACATAGAAGTTCCCTTTAGTCACCATGGCCAGTAGCCACTGACAGACCTATCTTCCATTAATCTATATAACCCCCTTTTAAAGCTGTCTATGCCTGTGGCCATCATTACATTCTCTGGTAGCGAAGTCCACATTTTAGTCACTTGTTATGTAAAGAGTTTTGTCCACCGGAACCCTTTCTAGCATAGGAATTCGTAATATATGGAGAAAAGATTATAGATTAATGGAAGATAGGTCTGTCAGTGGCTACTGGCCATGGTGACGAAAGGGAACTTCTATTTATTTATTTAATTAATTAATTAATTAATTTCATTTATGCCCGCCCTCCCCGCACGCGGGCTCAGGGCGGCTTACAGTATACAGGTGCAATACACCATAGTTCCAGGATCAAGGCACAGCAGTGCAATAAAATACAATTAAAACATTTTAAAACAATTAATACAATGGGCAGTGCCCAAGGATCCAGTGCGACTGACACACTCGCTCCTATTGCACATCCCATTTGAGTCAAACAGGGAGGATGCTATGGCCCCGATGTTCAATGGCCGATCAGCCTAATCCAGCGGTACTGCTTTGCAGTCCCCGGTTGGTGGTGGTGGTGACGGCGGCGGCTCCTATTCGAAAGCCTGGTGGAAGAGCTCCGTCTTACAGGCCCTGCGGAACTGTAATAGGTCCCACAGGGCCCTGATCTCCTCCGGGAGCTCGTTCCACCAGATAGGAGCCACCACCGAAAAAGACCTGGCCCTTCTATGTGCAGAGGTAGTCAACCTCTGGATCCCAGTGCCAAGAGGCAACATCAGGGGAAATCCTCGGCCTCTGTGCCCTGTTGTTGGCCCTGCGGAGTAACTGGTTGGCTGCTGTGTGAGATAGTAGACCAGTGATCTGATCTGGTAGGGCTCTTACCTTCATCTTACATTATGTTTATTTCTAATGTTGGTTTCTTGCCTTTTTTTTTTGAAAATCAGTATCTTCTGTTAGCATCATCAGTATCTGAATTTCTGAAGCCATCTGCTGCAGATCCGCACACTACACATCCAACTACCGCTGCTCCTCTTACCACAAATACTGTGTCTACAGTGAAACACTGCAGTGGGCCAACTCTGGTAAAGGTAGGTGAGGGGTAGAAAAAGGATTTGGGTAGTCAGGTTTTTAAGATCCCTGGTTTTCTGTTCCACAGAGACCTAGTGTTCTCAGCGTTTCTCCAAGATATGTCTGAAGAAGCGTGCATGCGCATGGAAGCTTATGCCCAGAATTAAACTTTGTTGGTCTTAAAGGTGCCACTGCACTTGAACTTTGTTCTGCACAGTTGTCACTGTTGTAGGAATATATTTTCCAGACTTATCACCAAAGTTTGGTGATGCTGCCAGTTGCATTAGTGCCTCTTCCAAAAGAGTTCAGGAAAGAACATCCTCTACCAGTATCTGTAAGGCCTTTCCATAAGTCCAGCAGAAATAGTGATGATGTCATTTGTAAGCTCTACCAATTTGTGCTGCAGTGATTAAATGCATTTTAAAGGCTCTATGCCATATAATGTCCAAAGCTCTAAAACAGCCCTTGTCATGCAAGTGTTCTTAAAGGAAGCCCGGGTAGTTCTCGAGAAGTAGGTGCGTCACGCTGCTGACTCTCCTGCTTCTGACAATTCCAGGAAACATCCTATCTCCATTAATGTGAGTGTTGCGGCAGTGCCAAGTCAGTTTGCTCCAGTGAGGGACTTAAAATTTCCTACAACTATAACACTGGACTATGAGTTGTCTTGACAGTTAGAAAAATGGCACACGGCCTCGTACAAAAACAATGGCCCGTTCCATTAGGCATCTCTTCCTATTCAGACAGGAGTAGTTTTCTGTCCCAAAGCTATGCATTGTTACAGTTTGGTGAAACATCTGCATGTTCATATTTCCGAGAAAAAACCTGGTATGCCTAAAGTATTTCTCTCATCAGAATCTGTTGGTGATGCTTTGAAGCATCAGTTGTCTTGCCAGTGGATCTGACTGGTATTAACAAGCAACTGCAAATCAGTGGTATCTAAATATATACCGGGCAGTGACGGCGCGTGCAATTAAAAATGAATATATGTTGTCTTCCCTATCCCCTACAAACATTGTTAGTCCCATGTCTATATTGAGTAACTGTACATCGCTTTGAGCCCACTGGGGAAAGTGATTAATAAATGGAAATTATTATTATTATTATTATTAATAATAATAATAATAACAATAACAACAACAATAATAATAATAATAGATAACAAGAAGGGGGA